CCTATCATTCTTGGCGGTCTTACCTTATCCTATCCTCGCAACGTCAGGGGATTGCCTCCTCGGTTGCTGAGCCCTGGATGTGTAGGGGTTGTCCCCCTATCATTCTTGGCGGTCTTACCTATCCTATCCTTGCAACGTCAGGGGATTGCCTCCTCGGTTGCTGAGCCCTGGATGTGTAGGGGTTGTCCCCCTATCATTCTTGGCGGTCTTACCTTATCCTATCCTCGCAACGTCAGGGGATTGCCTCCTCGGTTGCTGAACCCTGGATGTGTAGGGGTTGTCCCCTTATCATTCTTGGCGGTCTTACCTTATCCTATCCTTGCAATGTCAGGGGATTGCCTCCTCGGTTGCTGAGCCCTGGGTGTGTAGAGGTTGTCCCCCTATCATTCTTGGCGGTCTTACCTTATCCTATCCTCGCAACGTCAGGGGATTGCCTCCTCGGTTGCTGAACCCTGGATGTGTAGGGGTTGTCCCCTTATCATTCTTGGCGGTCTTACCTTATCCTATCCTTGCAATGTCAGGGGATTGCCTCCTCGGTTGCTGAGCCCTGGATGTGTAGGGGTTGTCCCCCTATCATTCTTGGCGGTCTTACCTTATCCTATCCTCGCAACGTCAGGGGATTGCCTCCTCGATTGCTGAGCCCTGGATGTGTAGGGGTTGTCGCCCTTTCATTCTTGGCGGTCTTACCTTATCCTATCCTCGCAGCGACAGGGGATTGCCTCCTCGGTTGCTGAGCCCTGGATGTGTAGGGGTTGTCCCCCTATCATTCTTGGCGGTCTTACCTATCCTATCCTTGCAACGTCAGGGGATTGCCTCCTCGGTTGCTGAGCCCTGGATGTGTAGGGGGTTGTCCCCCTATCATTCTTGGCGGTCTTACCTTATGCTATCCTGGCAACGTCAGGGGATTGCCTACTCGGTTGCTGAACCCTGGATGTGTAGGGGTTGTCCCCCTATCATTCTTGGCGGTCTTACCTTATCCTATCCTTGCAACGTCAGGGGATTGCCTCCTCGGTTGCTGAGCCCTGGATGTGTAGGGGTTGTCCCCCTATCATTCTTGGCGGTCTTACCTTATACTATCCTCGCAACGTCAGGGGATTGCCTCCTCGGTTGCTGAGCCCTGGATGTGTAGGGGTTGTCCCCCTATCATTCTTGGCGGTCTTACCTTATCCTATCCTTGCAACGTCAGGGGATTGCCTCCTCGGTTGCTGAGCCCTGGATGTGTAGGGGTTGTCCCCTATCATTCTTGGCGGTCTTACCTTATCCTATCCTTGCAACGTCAGGGGATTGCCTCCTCGGTTGCTGAGCCCTGGATGTGTAGGGGTTGTCCCCCTATCATTCTTGGCGGTCTTACCTTATCCTATCCTCGCAACGTCAGGGGATTGCCTCCTCGGTTGCTGAGCCCTGGATGTGTAGGGGTTGTCCCCCTATCATTCTTGGCGGTCTTACCTATCCTATCCTTGCAACGTCAGGGGATTGCCTCCTCGGTTGCTGAGCCCTGGATGTGTAGGGGTTGTCCCCCTATCATTCTTGGCGGTCTTACCTTATCCTATCCTCGCAACGTCAGGGGATTGCCTCCTCGGTTGCTGAGCCCTGGATGTGTAGGGGTTGTCCCCCTATCATTCTTGGCGGTCTTACCTATCCTATCCTCGCAACGTCAGGGGATTGCCTCCTCGGTTGCTGAGCCCTGGATGTGTAGGGGTTGTTCCCCTATCATTCTTGGCGGTCTTACCTTATCCTATCCTCGCAACGTCAGGGGATTGCCTCCTCGGTTGCAGAGCCCTGGATGTGTAGGGGTTGTCCCCCTATCATTCTTGGCGGTCTTACCTTATCCTATCCTCGCAACGTCAGGGGATTGCCTCCTCGGTTGCAGAGCCCTGGATGTGTAGGGTTGTCCCCCTATCATTCTTGGCGGTCTTACCTTATCCTATCCTCGCAACGTCAGGGGATTGCCTCCTCGGTTGCAGAGCTCTGGATGTGTAGGGGTTGTCCCCCTATCATTCTTGGCGGTCTTACCTTATCCTATCCTCGCAACGTCAGGGGATTGCCTCCTCGGTTGCTGAGCCCTGGATGTGTAGGGGTTGTCCCCCTATCATTCTTGGCGGTCTTACCTTATCCTATCCTCGCAACGTCAGGGGATTGCCTCCTCGGTTGCAGAGCCCTGGATGTGTAGGGGTTGTCCCCCTATCATTCTTGGCGGTCTTACCTTATCCTATCCTCGCAACGTCAGGGGATTGCCTCCTCGGTTGCTGAGCCCTGGATGTGTAGGGGTTGTCCCCCTATCATTCTTGGCGGTCTTACCTTATCCTATCCTCGCAACGTCAGGGGATTGCCTCCTCGGTTGCTGAGCCCTGGATGTGTAGGGGTTGTCCCCCTATCATTCTTGGCGGTCTTACCTTATCCTATCCTCGCAACGTCAGGGGATTGCCTCCTCGGTTGCAGAGCCCTGGATGTGTAGGGGTTGTCCCCCTATCATTCTTGGCGGTCTTACCTTATCCTATCCTCGCAACGTCAGGGGATTGCCTCCTCGGTTGCAGAGCCCTGGATGTGTAGGGGTTGTCCCCCTATCATTCTTGGCGGTCTTACCTTATCCTATCCTCGCAACGTCAGGGGATTGCCTCCTCGGTTGCAGAGCCCTGGATGTGTAGGGGTTGTCCCCCTATCATTCTTGGCGGTCTTACCTTATCCTATCCTCGCAACGTCAGGGGATTGCCTCCTCGGTTGCAGAGCCCTGGATGTGTAGGGGTTGTCCCCCTATCATTCTTGGCGGTCTTACCTTATCCTATCCTCGCAACGTCAGGGGATTGCCTCCTCGGTTGCAGAGCCCTGGATGTGTAGGGGTTGTCCCCCTATCATTCTTGGCGGTCTTACCTTATCCTATCCTCGCAACGTCAGGGGATTGCCTCCTCGGTTGCAGAGCCCTGGATGTGTAGGGGTTGTCCCCCTATCATTCTTGGCGGTCTTACCTTATCCTATCCTCGCAACGTCAGGGGATTGCCTCCTCGGTTGCAGAGCCCTGGATGTGTAGGGGTTGTCCCCCTATCATTCTTGGCGGTCTTACCTTATCCTATCCTCGCAACGTCAGGGGATTGCCTCCTCGGTTGCAGAGCCCTGGATGTGTAGGGGTTGTCCCCCTATCATTCTTGGCGGTCTTACCTTATCCTATCCTCGCAACGTCAGGGGATTGCCTCCTCGGTTGCTGAGCCCTGGATGTGTAGGGGTTGTCCCCCTATCATTCTTGGCGGTCTTACCTTATCCTATCCTCGCAACGTCAGGGGATTGCCTCCTCGGTTGCAGAGCCCTGGATGTGTAGGGGTTGTCCCCCTATCATTCTTGGCGGTCTTACCTTATCCTATCCTCGCAACGTCAGGGGATTGCCTCCTCGGTTGCTGAGCCCTGGATGTGTAGGGGTTGTCCCCCTATCATTCTTGGCGGTCTTACCTTATCCTATCCTCGCAACGTCAGGGGATTGCCTCCTCGGTTGCTGAGCCCTGGATGTGTAGGGGTTGTCCCCCTATCATTCTTGGCGGTCTTACCTTATCCTATCCTCGCAACGTCAGGGGATTGCCTCCTCGGTTGCAGAGCCCTGGATGTGTAGGGGTTGTCCCCCTATCATTCTTGGCGGTCTTACCTTATCCTATCCTCGCAACGTCAGGGGATTGCCTCCTCGGTTGCTGAGCCCTGGATGTGTAGGGGTTGTCCCCCTATCATTCTTGGCGGTCTTACCTTATCCTATCCTCGCAACGTCAGGGGATTGCCTCCTCGGTTGCTGAGCCCTGGATGTGTAGGGGTTGTCCCCCTATCATTCTTGGCGGTCTTACCTTATCCTATCCTCGCAACGTCAGGGGATTGCCTCCTCGGTTGCTGAGCCCTGGATGTGTAGGGGTTGTCCCCCTATCATTCTTGGCGGTCTTACCTTATCCTATCCTCGCAACGTCAGGGGATTGCCTCCTCGGTTGCTGAGCCCTGGATGTGTAGGGGTTGTCCCCCTATCATTCTTGGCGGTCTTACCTTATCCTATCCTCGCAACGTCAGGGGATTGCCTCCTCGGTTGCTGAGCCCTGGATGTGTAGGGGTTGTCCCCCTATCATTCTTGGCGGTCTTACCTTATCCTATCCTCGCAACGTCAGGGGATTGCCTCCTCGGTTGCTGAGCCCTGGATGTGTAGGGGTTGTCCCCCTATCATTCTTGGCGGTCTTACCTTATCCTATCCTCGCAACGTCAGGGGATTGCCTCCTCGGTTGCTGAGCCCTGGATGTGTAGGGGTTGTCCCCCTATCATTCTTGGCGGTCTTACCTTATCCTATCCTTGCAACGTCAGGGGATTGCCTCCTCGGTTGCTGAGCCCTGGATGTGTAGGGGTTGTCCCCCTATCATTCTTGGCGGTCTTACCTTATCCTATCCTCGCAACGTCAGGGGATTGCCTACTCGGTTGCTGAGCCCTGGATGTGTAGGGGTTGTCCCCCTATCATTCTTGGCGGTCTTACCTTATCCTATCCTCGCAACGTCAGGGGATTGCCTCCTCGGTTGTTGAGCCCTGGATGTGTATGGGTTTGCATGTCCAGAAAAGTAGAACCCCCCAAAAAAAAGATGCCTAGAAAATCGAAAAAACATCCTTCCATCTTTTTTTCTCTAAGTAATCTCATTTCAAAGTTGCAGATTAATTTATACAAACATATTTGTATTTGTTTTTGACAAATTGGGGGGCGGGGTAGCCGAATGGGTTAAAGTGTGTGCACTGCACCGCGAGTTGCCTGGCAACCGGATAAGAGATTTAAGGAGATTTAAAAAGTATGAGTTCGCATCCCGGTGCCGGAGGGGATTTTAAATTCCCCGCCCTCACCCTCCGGCCAGGAAAATCCCGTATAGCCTTAAAGGCGAGGTAGGGAAGAACAAAAAAAAAAAAAGGATGTGTAGGGGTTGTCCCCTTATCATTCTTGGCGGTCTTACCTTATCCTATCCTTGCAATATCAGGGGGTTGCCTCCTCGGTTTCTGAGCCCTGAATGTGTAAGGGTTGTCCCTCTATCATTCTTGGCGGTCTTACCTTATCTGTTGCTGAGCCCTGGATGTGTAGGGGTTGTCTCCCTATCATTCTTGGCGGTCTTACCTTATCCTTTCCTCGCAATGTCAGGGGATTGCCTCCTCGGTTGCTGAGCCCTGGGTGTGTAGGGGTTGTCCCCCTATCATTCTTGGCGGTCTTACCTCACCTATCCTGACACTGAGACCCAATCTCTCTTAACCCTATACTTCCTTTCTCCTTTCGTATCAATAACTTGGTTGTCCCTCGTTTTCCTACAGTCCCCCTTGCGTCTTTCAGGTTGTCCCTGGGAGTGTGAGGTCACCTAAGCTTGCAACGTCAGGGGATTGCCTCCTCGGTTGCTGAGCCCTGGAAGTGTAGGGGTTGTCCCTCTATCATTCTTGGCGGTCTTACCTTATATACCTTATCCTTCTCATCCTATCTAAGCTTATACACCCCATTCTTACAAACTTAAATATATACACGAATACCAGGTTAATTGACTAACAGAAAGATTAAAGGTAAGAAGGACAGATTTCACATTTTAAAAGACAAACGTCGGCAATAAAAGACAGACTGACAGACAGAGAGATAAATAAAATAAAAATAAAAAATATTACAATATTTATATACACACACACACACACACACATAGATAGATAGATAGATAGAAAAAGAAACTTTATTCTGGGACTAAGTCCCTTCAGAATAACAATAATGTACAAAATAATAGAATATTACTGGCCTCAACGTTGAAACAATAAATAAAATTGATAAAATAAAATAAAAAGTAAAGAAATCTTAGGTGCACAAGCTATATACAATACAGATAAAACTATGTACAGAGCATTTAAAATTATGAATAAAACAATTAAAACTATGAACGAATCATTTGAACTATGAACAAAATTATATTTAAGGGTTGAACAACATAAACATACACTTGAGAAATGAAGAACGAAAAAGAGATACAATGAGTTCATTTCATAAAAAAAAAAAAAACTTTACTTGAATATATATATGAAAATAAACAGTTATTTATAATTGAATAAAAAAAAAAAATACAAAAAAATTTATGTATTGAAATTCCTACGTCGATAGTAGGAAATGCATGTACTATCTCTTACCAAGTGTTATGATTACATGATTGCTACACAATACATGTATAATATTAATCGTTAGCTGGTATCTGACTGTTTTTGGAACAGGAATTGGAATAGGAGGTTTTTGAATGTGTACAGGGAAGGGGCATGTCGAATTTTGATCGGGAGGGAATTCCAAAAGTTGACAGAGCGGGCTATAAAGGAATTTTGGAATGAGGCAGATCTATGAGAAGGGATGTATAGGTCGGAGGGTCGGGATCTTGTAGTGAGTGAATGGATTGAGGACTTAAATTGGAGAAGGTTGTAGGCATAAGAAGGACGATGATCGGTAATGATTTGATAAAGGAAAGTGCCAAGGAAATATTGTCTTCTTAAGGAGGGGAAGAGCCACCCTAACTCAGTGTAGTGGTGGGAGACACGGGAGCGTCTCGGGGTTCCGATTACAAATCTTACGAAGCAATTCATAAGTTATATATATATATATAGGTACGGAGCGGGACAGTATTAGCTTTAATACCAAAAGCATTTATGTAAACAACTTAGAATGTATATATAGAGGATTATAAGGAGGAATAAATCAGTCTTGTTTCTGACTTCATGCGTGTTAGTTGTTGAACCTTTACTCTTTTTTAAAGCCCGCAACGTTTAACTGGTGCCGAAACCCGGGAGGTGAGAGTGCAGAGGTACGTTTTTTTTAAACCAGAGGAGAACCGTTGCGAGCATGCCTGAATTTGCCTTAGGGCAGCCGGCTCCCATGAATGTGCCAGAGATCCCTCCGTTACCGCAGGGAACCTTTGCCGCGGCGCATGCGAATGCGATAGAATGGATGAAAATCCGGGTAGCCACTTCACAGGACCTCAGGGAGGCTATATCCGATCTCGAGCGCTTCACTGGAGAAATAGGTGAGCTCAATAATTTTTTAAAGGGTGGAGATCGACTCGTGGCTAGAATCAACGCAAAGATTGATGAGAACCTCGTCAACGCTGGGGATGCGGAGGCCCTTAAGGCGGCCCTTGTGTGCAGGGTAAAACGGAGTATCCTGAACCACATTCAGGCAGATGAAGAGACGCCGTGGGAAATGGTCAAGGAGAGACTGAAGAAAGCCTACGGCGGTGGCAGATGGACTACAGAGGAAGACATCTATCAGATGTTTCGCGAGGTGAAGTCTTCACGGCAGTCCAACGGACAGTATGCGGCGACACTAGTAGCTCACTACAACCGGATCACCGAGAAGATGCGGGAGACAGCTGGAGCGCCGGAGGTCGAAGCGAAGATGGCCTTTTTGTCTACCATACTGAAGGTGCAATTGGCGAAAGAAACTGGAAAGAAAGATGGCTTACCCCGGGAACGTTCGTTTATTGAATGCGCCCAAGAAATGGTAGATTCCAGTGCTCGAGATGAAGAAGCCCGGTTAGAGGGGGAGGAACCAGGATGGAACAGAGTGCTCTATAGGAGACCTAGAGGAGAGTCTAAAGAACCAGGGGATAATTGTCGATAGCACGTCGCCATATAATAGCCCGCTATGGGCAGTTAAGAAGAAAAGCGCGCCCGGAGAGGATAAGGAGAAATACCGCGTGGTAATCGATTACCGCAAACTCAAGAGAATACTGTGGATGAAAAATACCCAATCCCGAAGTTTGAGGACATTTTAGATCGGTTAAGCGGGGCAACGGTATTCAGTACTCTTGACCTGAAAGCGGGATATCATCAGATTAGGATGCTTCCGGAAGATCAATTGAAGACAGCATTCACTTTCGAGAGGGGGCATTACGAATTTACGAGAATGCCATTTGGTCTCAAGAATGCCCCTATAACATTCCAGTGGCTAATGGACGAGTTCCTAAGGGGAATTGACGAAGTGATGTGCCAAATTTACATGGACGACCTGTTGGTATTTAGTAAAAACGAGGCGGAACACGTAGAGCATCTACGTAGGGTATTTGAGAGAGTCAGACAATTTGGGCTGAAACTGTCCAGCGAGAAATGTTTGTTAGGGCAGGACCACATAAATTTTTTAGGACACACGATATCCAGTGAAGGAGTAAAACCTGACGCGCGGAAAGTGGAGGCGATTAAGAAGATGGCAATACCTCGGGATGTAAAAGGGATCCGCAGATTGTTAGGAACCCTTAATTATTATCGACGATTTGTGCCCGAAATGGCGGAATACCTCGTACCCCTCAACAATTTATTAAAGAAAGGCAGCAAGGTGATAGTAACCCCCATAATGGAAGATAACATTCGGAAATGCATGGCGAGGCTGCAAGAGGAGCCAGTATTAGCATTTTCGGATTTTACGAAAGTGTTTACGATCACAACGGACGCTAGCGAATACGCGTTGGGGGCTGTGTTATCCCAGGATGGAAATGGGGGGGACCGTCCCGTAGCATATGCCAGCAGGCGACTTACGGAGGCAGAGTCGCGACACAGTGCGCTGGAGAGAGAACTGTTAGCGATCGTATGGGCTATCGACCATTTTAGACCATATGTTTTTGGGAGGAAATTCCGCGTGCAGACGGACCATAGACCCCTACAATGGGTAGGCAAGCTAAAGGAATCTTCGGCTAGAGTCACACGCTGGAAGGAGATTCTTAACCAGTACAACATGGACATTGTGTACAAGCCCGGAAGAGAGAATGTGGTGGCGGATTGGCTATCGAGAGCGCTAACTATAAATGCCATAGAGGAGGATACAGCAGAATCATCGGGAGGCGTGAGACAATTCCTGAGGGACTGGACGCCAGAGGGAGAGGGGGTACAAGTGGTGGAAGAAAATGTGGATGGAGTTGATACCCAACAAGAAGAAAGTCCAGCGGAAGAGAGGCCAGTGGACATGGAAGAACGGGAGGAAATCGTCAACGATAAGAACCGCCAGATCATCTGGAAGACCAGGACGTCGGGTCTGATGAAGATATTATATAGTAAGTACGGCAACAGCCGAATAACAACCATTTGGTCACAACCAGGGGCCAGCGTGGACCAGATCTGCAGAGCTCTCAAAGACGCGTCGAAAGCAAGGAAAATTCACCACTTATATGTGGGAAATGAAACGATTTGGGAGAAGATAAAGAGGCTATGGCGGGATGAGCGATTAGGGATGGATAGGACGTTCATTCGTTGCAAACTGATGGTGGATACAGTGCGGGATGAAGAGCAGCAGAAGGACATAACACTTGCTTACCACCAGGGCAAGACCAACCACCGTGGGGCGCAGGAGACGTTTCAAGCGTTGCGTCGGAAATATTTTTGGTGGGGGATGAAGAAAACGATCGCAGAGCTCATAGGGTCCTGCAGGGTGTGCGCGAGCACAAAGTACGATCGGCACCCCCAAGAACGATGCAAGAGGAGACACCCACGGTCGATGCACCACTAAGCGACTTGCAAGTGGATACGTTCACATGGAGAGGGTATAAGTGGGTCACGCTCATAGACCTCTTTAGCAAAGCGGCAATGGCGTACCTGGTACAGGAGCGGTCAGCAGAGGCAGTCTTAGGAGCCCTCCAGACGTGGTTCCAATGTTACGGAGTACCCGATCGCATAACATCCGACGGGGGCAGAGAGTTCGACAATGCCAAAATCAGAGCGGAGATGAAGAACGTAGGTGTCAGTGGCATCTTAATACTCCAGGGCACCCCAAGAGCAGAGGAAGTATAGAGAGGCTGCACAGCACTCTTAGTGACCATCTAAGGGTGTATCAGGTGGAAAAAGGGTTGGAACCGGATGTGGCAATGCGGAAGGCGGTGGCAGCGTACAACCATTCTATACATACGACAACAGGGTTCTCTCCATTTGAAATTCTCTTCGGATTACGCGGACGGCAACGGGACTGGGGAGGTACAGCTACTGACGAGCAAATGACAGAAAGAATGGTTAGTAACAAAATGGAACTGGGTAATCTCTGGGGGAAGGTTAAGGATAAAATAGAGGGGGAAAAGCGGAAAAGGGTGGCGCGGGAAAATCTCAAAGTGAAGGAAGTAACAGGGGGTTGAAAATAGGGTCCATAGTGTATCGCAAATTAGGCTCGAATAGGGGAAAGGAAGTGCGGAGATACGAGGATCCATTCAGGGTGATAGTCATTAGAGAGCATAATGTGGTGACGATTGAGAGTGTTAACGAACCAAAAAAACGAAGGACGGTTCACATAGAACAATTAAAATTTCCGATTACAGAGTCACAGCAACCTTAGAACTGGAGTGCCCTCGTCTCCCGAAGGAAGATTTTTTGTTTGTTTGTTGTTTTGTTTGTTTTGTATATAGTGCTCTTACATAACTTTGTGTAGATTTTGAAAGCAGTGAAATACGCCTTTCATTTGTGAGAAGATTATATAGAGGAAAGTGTATTTTTTTTATTTTTTTAATATTTTGATATATAAGGAATATTTTTGTTTGTGTTTCATTAAATTAGGTTGTAAGTACTGAACACTCCGTACCTGTGTTATAATATGGGCAAGAGAATCTTGTCGTTGTATATATAAGAGTGTTTCTTTTTGTTTTATGTCTTTTATTTTTTTTTAAGTTTACGAAGAGTATCCGTAAACTGGTGGGGGGGAGTTAAGGTACGGAGCGGGACAGTATTAGCTTTAATACCAAAAGCATTTATGTAAACAACTTAGAATGTATATATAGAGGATTATAAGGAGGAATAAATCAGTCTTGTTTCTGACTTCATGCGTGTTATTTGTTGAACCTTTACTCTTTTTTTTAAGTGTTTAAAGCCCGCAACGTTTAACTTATATATATATATATATATATATATATATATATATATATATATAATATATATATATATATATATATATATATATATATATATTTCCGGTATGTTATAAAATATTCACTTTAATCTTAACCAGTCGAATCACGGAATACGCCGAGGAAATTATCGGAGACTACCAATGCGGATTTAGACGGAATCGTTCGACAATTGATCAAATATTTTCTTTACGGCAAATATTAGAGAAAAAATTGGAGTATAACGGTATTGTTCACCAGCTGTATATAGATTTTAAAAAGGCTTACGATTCTATTGACCGCCAGAGACTGTATAATATTCTAATCGAGCAGGGGATTCCAAAAAAAACTAGTAAATCTAGTCAGGATGTGCTTGACGGAGACACTCAATAAAGTTAGAATCGGTAATAATTTGTCCGAAAAATTTGAGGTTCGTTCGGGCTTAAAACAGGGGGATTCTCTTTCGCCTGTCCTGTTCAATTTGGCATTAGAACATGCCATTAGGGAGGTAATGCGAACCGAGAAAGGGTTGGATCTGGGCGGGACAACATCCGTGCTGGGCTATGCTGATGATCTGGTACTGTTAAGCGAAGACGTTGAAACTATAAAACTAAATACGACAACGTTAATGAAAGCCGGTAAAGAACTAGGACTCGAAATGAACGTGGATAAAAAAAAATATATGGTTAGCTGCAAAAATGGCGATACTACTGGTGATATCGATATAGATATAGATAAATTTATATAGATATAGATATAGATAATATATCTAATAGATAATATAGATATAGATAAATATCGATATAGATAAATTTAGGTATCTAGGTTCTACGATAACTAGAAAAAACGAAATTGAAGAAGAGATTAAGGTTAGACTGAAGGCAGGGAATGCTTGTTATTTTTCTGTGACAAAACTACTTAGTTCGCGCCTCTTGTCCCGAAACTTAAAAATTAGAATCTATAAAACAATTATCTTGCCTACAGTTCTTTATGGATGCGAAACTTGGCCGCTTACATTAAGGGATGAGCAGCGTCTTAAGGTTTTTGAAAATAAAGTATTGCGTAGAATATTCGGACCGAAGAAGGATGAGTTAACCGGAGAGTTCAGACGGTTACACAACGCCGAATTGCGTGAGCTGTATCCGGGTAATATAATTGAGGTAATTTCATGGCGGCGAATCAAATGGGCTTGTAAAGTTGTTGGGCTTAGTAACGAGAGAATTCCTAAAAGGTTAATATTTGCTGTGCCGAATGGTAAGCGTCCGAGGGGTAGACCGAAGCGAAGGTGGGAAGATTGCATTAAAGCCGATCTGAAGGGACTGGGTTTGGACGGCGAACGTTGGAGGGAGGTGTGTAACAAGCGATTGGTGGTGTCGGCATCGAACCTTTGGGTTCGCTAAGCCTTATTATTATTATTTATTATTATTATATATATATATATATATATATATATATATATATATATATATATATATATATGTATATATATACATATATATATATATATACATATATACACACATACACATGCATACACACACATATACATACACATACACACACACCTATACTTACACATACATATACACACACACATATATATATATATATATATATATATATATATATATATATATATAGAGAGAGAGAGAGAGAGAGAGAGAGAGAGAGATAAAGTTGTCAGCGAAAAGGAAAGGATAACTATGGATGTTTTAATAAATTCAGAATTTGGGAATAGGCTAAAGATAAGTTCTGTTTGTCTGTTTTTAAATTTACTGTCTTTGGTTGAAGCTGGATGTTGAGGGTTTCAGAAATGAGTCGTTTATCATGGTTAAGAACTGTGGCAAGGGGATGTTTTGTCGAAATCAAATGTATGATTGAGGGAGAGAGAATGTTCGGATAATTTGGAGGCGGTTGAATTACGAGAGGATTTACGTTGGGTGATGCGGTCTTTTAGGAAATTTATAGTTTCACCAATATAGGATGAAAACAATTGGGGGTAGAACATAGAATACGGTAAACGATATGAGAGCGGTGTGAGAGAGGAACAGGATCTTTTAAGGATGTGTATAATTTAGAGAGTGTGTTGTGAGATTTGAATGCAAGACGTAAGTTTGGGTTAGTAGATCGTAAAACTTTGTTGATGTAGTCCGAAAGGTTAGGAATATGTGGTAGAGATCTGTATATTAGGGCTGAAATGGGTTGTGGAGAATTAATGGAAGTCGAGATTAAGGAAGAATATTGGGCATGTTAAAGTAAAGAGGAGGGGAAGTTTCATGTCAGAGTGTAATGTCTTCGTTGAGTCGAATTTTCCAAAGTTTATACCAATAACTTAGCTTTGTTAAATGATGTTGCAAAGACTTTAATTTTGTGCGAACTCACATTTTTGAAGTAGTCAATGTCAGATTAAGAACTAAACAAATAACCTTGATTTATCACTTAAATATTACATACAAGGAATATGAGACTTTGAATTAATAAAAGTATCAACCTTTATTAAAACATTTCCACAGCTTGTTCCCTCTGCTCCTCAATCTTTTTCATTGGATTCTTTTTTCTCCTTACTCTCATTTTTCCTCAGATTCCTGTTGCATATTCTCCTGAGACCTTTTCTTTCCTAAAACTGCTTTTTGATTACCTCCTACAATAGGAAAAGAAGAAGCAGCTGCAGCAATAACGTTCTTCGTAATTTCGTTAGGTTGAATTTCTTGACGTCTACTTGGGTTGTTTGACATAGCTACTATAGTTACTATTATGCTTACAATATTAACCGCTATGCCAATTAACGTCAAGAAAATTCGCTTTTTCGGACCGTTAGGCGTTAGACTATCGTTTGTATTTGACATTTCTTGAAGTTTTGATATAATTTCATTAGCTTCAATATCCATCAACGATGCCATTCGCTTTTGCGGCTCTGTATCCTTTAGACCCTCTTCTATACTTGACACTCCTTTATTCTCACCCTCTCCTTTTTCCTCAGATTCATCTTCCATATTCTCAGAAATTTTCTCTTCTAAAAATTCATTAACAATATTTTCTACAACAGGAATAGAACCAGCAGCTGCATTAACAATCTCCCTCGCTATTTCGTCAGGATCTTGTTCATTTTTTTTACCTTTAACTACCTTTGTTGATATAGCTATTAGTTTGGATATCAATCCTATATTCATAACCACAAGGGGAAGCAATGGCGTAACCATCCCCTTTTTCGAATGTTTAAGTTTGTCAATAATTTTTTTAGCTTCAATATCGGTAAACAATGGCATTGGCTTTTTCGGATCTGAATCTGAACAGAAGTAGCTCGTTGAATTGTAAAAGTGGCCGCTAGTGATGAGGCGAGATTTAAGAGAATGATTTAGTAATCTAAGCATTTTTATGATGAATGGTCTGAACTAATTTTTTTTACAAATTATTTTCTTTTTATCTGTCTAGATCATATGAAATAATATAATTCTTGCATGTGCTATTTATACCAATGGCTATAGCCATATGTTATAAACATATGTTACGTGTGAAAATAGGTAAAGTAACCCATTATCCTTCTCCCCCCCCCACCGCTCGTCTTCACTCTATCTTGGTCTTCTCTGATTATTCCTTGTTATATTGATATGAATATATATATATATATATATATATATATATATATATATATATATATATATATATATATATGAATGAATGAAAACTTGTTTATTGAATTTTAAAAAAAATTAAACATTAATATATATATATATATAAGTTAAGCGTCGGCGGACTCTAACAATAAAAAAAACAGAAAGGAAAGGGGTTGAGATGCAACACTCACGGTTTCAGAATAGATACTGCTTTATTCATCTAGTAATCCTTCTTATATACATTTGGGATGTTTATTTACATTCAGGATGGCATTAAGGCTGATATCGCCAGTCTCCGGTCTTTATCTCCCCCCCACCAGTTTACGAATAGGATTTTCGGAAACTTAGATATTCCTAGATCGAAGCCAACGGTTATCGGCCTTAATACCTTACAATTGTTGTTACTAATATACACTTGAAAGAAACTAAAACTAAAACTAAAACTCACTCCCACTCCGAGAAAGAAAGAAGAAAAAAAAACATAGAAACTAAACACAAAACTTGCTTGTAAGAACCGAACTCTTAATAACCTAAAAAAAAAATAATACAGTTTCCTCTACTGTATTGCTATGATACTACTTACACACAAAAATAATAAAAAAAAAATACATCATGTTTCCGTTTTGACAGCAAGAAAAAAAAAAAAAACATATTTCTCATAACCCGCGGTGAGGGTACTACGAATCCATTGGTTCCGGTTCTATCATTGGGAGCTTCAATTGTTCAATGTGAACAGTTCTCCTCTTTCTAGGTTCATTAACGCTTTCGATCGTGAGCAGATTATGTTCCCTAATAGCAACCACTCTGAATGGACCCTCGTATCGTAACAATTGTTTCCCTCTGTTGGTTCCTACTCTACGGTACACTAATGTCCCGATCTTTAGGTCACCCATTTGGTCACGTACGCGAACATTTTGCCGCTCTACCCGCTTCTGCTTTTCCCGGTTAATTTTCCCCGTCACTCTTTCCCACGTCTTTTCCACCTCTACCCTATTGCTCTGGATTTGCTCGACTACCGGTTCATTAATCGTTGTTTCCGCGCAATCTCGCCTTGGCCTGCGCATCCCGAACAGTACTTCCACTGGCGAAAATCCCGTGACGGAGTGAATCGAGTGGTTGTAGGCTGTTATCGCCTTCTTCATCGCAACATCCGGCTCCAATCCTTTTTCCCCTTGATACACCCGGATGTGGTCACTCAGCGTGCTGTGCAACCGCTCAATGCCGCCTCTACTTTTAGGATGTCCCGGGGTGTTATAATGCCAACGAATCCCTAGTCTTTTCACCTCCTCCCTAATCGCGGCATTGTCAAACTCTCTACCACCGTCCGATGTGATCCTCTCGGGGACCCCGTAGAACTGCACCCAGGTTTGTAGGGCTTCCGCAACTGCGTTGGCAGACTTGTCCATGACCTGGTGTGCCATAGATACCTTGCTGAAGACGTCGATGACCGTAACCCACTTGAACCCTCTCCAGGTAAACGTATCAATTTGGAGGTCCTGTAGTGGCATGTTCCCTGTAGGTGTCTCTTCCTGAACTCCTCTGAGGGGATGTCGATCATATTTCGTGCACATACACACCTCGCATTTCCCGATGACCTCTTGGATGGCTTTTTTCATCCCCCACCAGAAATACTTTCGACGTAATGCCTGCAATGTCTCGTTCACGCCTCGGTGGTTGGTTTTCCCCTGGTGATAAGCCAATGTGACTGCCTGTTGTTGCTCCTTATCCTGTATAGTTTCCACTGCATATTTGCAACGGATGAGCGTTCTGTCCACGCCTATTCGCTCGGATCTCCACATCCGATTTATTTTCTCCCATACTGTGTTATTTCCAACATAGAGATGGTGCGTTTTTCCCGCTTCCGTGGCGTCTTTCAGTGCCGTACGGATTTGCTCTTCACTCACCCCGGGTTGCGCCAGATGACGCGAATCTTACTTTTCCCATATCTACGGTAATCTATTTTCATCATCCCTGCGACTCTCGTTTTCCAGATTACCTGACGATGCTTGTCATTAATGATGTCATCTATCTCCTCCATCTCCACAGCTCTTTCCTTCGCTGAGCTCTCCTCTTCCGTGGACTCTCCCCTGTCCTCTATACCGACGAGATCATCTGCTCCTTCGCCATCGGGAGTCCACTCACTCAAGAATTGGCGCACGTCTCGCGATGGTCCTCCCATGTCCTCTTCTACCGCGTTGATCATGATGGCCCTAGAGAGCCAGTCTGCCACCACGTTTTCCTTTCCCGGCTTATACACCACCTCTATATTGTATTGGCTCAGAACTTCCTTCCATCTTGTGACCCTAGCTGAGGTTTCCTTAAGTTTCCCTACCCACTGAAGGGGTTTGTGGTCGGTGTGGACTCGAAACTTCCTCCCAAATACATATGGCCTGAAATGTTCGACAGCCCACACTATCGCGAGTAGCTCCCTCTCCGCATCCGTATTTGGTGATATCCCGCCTTGAGATCCAACGTACTAAAGACCACGGCCCCACTCAACCTATCGAGTATATCTTCAAATCTGGGGATCGAGTACTTCTCATCTACCGTATTATCGTTCAATTTGCGATAGTCTACTACCACCCTGTATTTTTCCTTGTTATCCCCCGGCGCTGCCTTCTTCTTCACCGCCCACAGGGGACTATTGAATGGTGAGGTGCTATCCACTATGATCCCTTGTTCTTTTAAACTGTCTAACTCCTCCCGAATATGCTGCCTCAACGCCTGCGGGTATCTTCTCTCTTTCACGTACGTTACCCTATCCTGCTTCAGTGGGATTTCATGCACCGTCTTCCCTGTTACCCCCAATACCTCACCCTCCCTGAAGAAAATATCCTTAAACTCCTCCTGTAGCAACTTCCTCCAGTCCTCCACTCTGTTCACCGCTCCTATCCGCACCCTTCTTTCTCTCGCGACCCCTATACACCCGAACTTCCTCTTTCCCAGCCTAACACTCCAGACTCCTCTATGGTTTCTAATGCTAGCCCCTACCTGCCCTAACAAATCGCACCCTACTATGGCCTGGTATTCCCGAGTCATGTTTTCTACTACGTGTACCTTCAGTTCGCCCTTTTTTCCTGCCCACCGATCAAGCCTTATTGTCGCTTCTCCCTCTACACTACAGGGGCCACCCAGAGTGATTAGCTGGCAATCGCATTTTTGGATCCGGAGTACCCTCTCGCTCCCGCACACTTTCCCTAACGCCCCTCTGGTCATAATAGTGCTCGAGCTCCCGGTGTCCACGAGGCACTTTACTCCCCCGTCTACCTCGATAATTGGCAACCAGCATGGCTTACCTCGGATGTCGTTGCATGTTGCTGTGCGGTCGCCTCTCTGCTGCCACACTCCTCAGATGGCGCCCCGCTTCCTCCTTACCGCCGCCGTTCGTCGCTGCTCGGTCCGTTGGCTGCTCCTGCCTCCTTCGCCTCCACTGCTACCTGGTTAATCTCTGTTCCCGAAGTTCCCGACTCCTCGGTTGCCTCCTCCGAAGATCCGTCCTTCCGCTGCATCCTAGCCCGTCTTGTCAACTTCTGCGTGTTTACCTCCATGACTCTTGAGCTCGTCTTGAGTTCTTTCTCTCCTCCGGAATATGTACGGGCACTGCCTAGCAATATGCTCTTCGGTCCCGCACTCGAAACATCTAGTGCGCGGACATTGTGCAACTAAATGTCCTGGCTTTCCACACCCATGACATTTCCTGTCTTCCCTGCGGGGTCCATTCCTCGGCCTCGCCTGTCCTGACCTTTTCTCCGCTCGGCTGTATCGTTTCTCTCTTCTTCCAACCCATCGGGGCTGTCCGGGGTCGTCTGTCATTCACCCGGATCCACCCTGGTTCTTCCACGTCCATCCGAGTCTCTTCTTCCCTTGCGCTTAGGTCGATCATTTCCTGGGCACACTCGAGGAATGATCTCTCCCTGGGCAATCCGTCTCTCCTCCCCGTTTCCTTCGCCAACTGGACCTTGAGTATCGTCGAGAGGAACTCCATCCTGGCTTCAACCTCTCCCACACTCATTGTTTCGCGCATTTTCTCCGTTATGCGGTTGTACTTTGCCACTAGTTTCCCCGCATACTGGCCCCTCGTCTGACGTTGGGACCGGCGCTCCCTAAACATTTGGAAGATGTCTTCCTCCGGCGTCCATCTGCCTCCTCCGAAGGCCTTCTTCAGTCGCTCCTTAATCATCGGCCATGGTGTCTCCTCGTCCGCCTGAATTTGGTTCAGGATGTTCCTCCTTACGCGGCACACCAGAGCTGCTTTCAATGCTTCCGCGTCCCCTAGGTTTACCAGGTCCTCCGCCACCTTTACCTCTATTCTTGAGATGAGGCGGTCTCCGCCTTTCAGGAAATGGTTAAGCTCCCCTACCTCACCACCGAAGCGTTCCAGGTCCGCAATGGCTCTCCGTAGGTCCTGCGTGGTCGCCGCTCTTATTTTCATCCATTCCAGAGCGTTAGCGTGCGCTTCTGCCAATGTGTCCCTCGGTAAGGGAGGGATCTCCTGGATCTGCGGAATCTGCGGTACCTGAGGTATTTAAGGTATCTGAGGAACCTGAGGGGCCTGCGTGATCTGAGGTATCTGCGGAATTTCTTGAGGTTGAGGGATTTCCGGGGCGCTCAACACTCCCGGCCTGATTAAGCCCTCTGTTGGCATCTCGCTCTTTCCTTATGACTAGGAGAAGAAAAAAAAAACGAGAGAGAAAAAAAATGAATTTAAAAAAGAATTTTCTCTGTTCTCCTGTCGTAGTCCCGGGTTTCGGCACCAGTTAAGCGTCGGCGGACTCTAACAATAAAAAAAAAGAAAGGAAAGGGGTTGAGATGCAACACTCACGGTTTCAGAATAGATACTGCTTTATTCATCTAGTAATC